CCTTGCTGTCACCGGGCCATTTCTGCCAAGAGGTCAAGTGGAAGGGCAAGTATACTGCTCACCACACAGACTAACTCCTATGACTTTGCAATAGTAGTCTTGAAAGCAACAACAGATGCATCTACATGTGTAAATAATGGGGTTAAATTTTCTAAGCAGAAAAGTCAAGCACATAAACTTGCACCTGGGCATGCATCTGAATGTGTGTTCATAGGGAGCAAATTTGCTCCTAACAGGAGTAATTCAGTCCAGCACTTCTCCTGCCTTGCTCTGCCCTGCTGCAGCAGCCAGGAGGAGCTCCAGCCTCCCCCCAGTGCCAGCCCCAGACTAGTAGTAGGAACAGGGCCCCATCCCAATCTCCATGGGCCAGGAGGAGCTGTCCCACCTCTGGGAGAAGCTGCCTCCAAGCCACCCAGTGATCAGGACCGATAGCTGTGTGGTGGAAAGAGCGGTCTTGGCTCTGAGGGAAGCTGCCCCCCAGCTCCCAGCAATCAGGACCTGTCCTGATCTATGAGGGGCAGAGAGAGCTGTTCTGTCTCTGAGGGCAGCTGCCTCCCAAGCCAGTTCCGAGGGGAATAGGGGCCAGACCTGATCACCAGGATCCTGGTTTTCTCTAACAAAAAACAATCCAAAATCCTCTGCTTTAAAAAAAAAGGAAAAAATCCACATTTTTCCATGATTAAAACAAAATGCCATATCAATCCAAATAATAAATAGTGATATTTTATTTTAATCACAGAAAACGTGGTTTTATGAGTTGTTTTAAAGCAGAGAATTTTGGAATTTTTTTCTCAGAGAAAACCAGGATCCCTGCCAATCACTACATGGCTGAGAGGCAGCTGCCCCTAGAGCCAAGATAGCTTTCCCCACCCTGCAGAGATTGGGACCATCCCTGATCACCACACAGGTGGGAAGCAGCTGCCCCAACAGCCAGGGCAGCTCTCTTCATCCTGCAGAAATTGGGACCAGTCCTGCTTGCTGTGCAGTTGGGAGGGAGCTGTCCTGCAGCTGGGACATCTCCCCCTACCCCACGGAGACTGGGGCTTAGCCAGGCAGCAGTGGCTTTCAGTCAGGGTCTACATGTATGCTTTTACTTTTGCATCATCCTTCAAAAGATCAAGAAATGAAACAGTAATTTACTTCAGATTTTGTGCCATTAATGTGCCATTTTTCTAGTACCTGTGTGTGTTGGTACTAGCAAACAGTGTGTTAGACTAATTTAATGCACAGTAATTGACATGCACATGTAGATAGTGATGCTTTACTATGCATTAAATTAGTCTAATGCGCACAACAGCATCTTGTATAGATGCACCCAACATAATTTATTGATGCATGACAGGAATGTCTTTTCATTGTTGCTTTGGGTCCATTTGTCTCTCCAACCCACATTTCCAAATCTAACTACGAAAGACAATTAACACCATTGCAAAATTCTCTTCCACTTTTCATGCTGTTATTTATTTTACTTGAGATATCACCAGAAGATACAGATTGTTTTTCTTTCCATTGCAATTTACTTGACAAACAGCAATCACTGAGGTGTGCTGTCCTTTTCACAGATACCATCTGTGTTCAGTTATTCTATTTAGAACCTCCTTCACAGTGTTAGGATTTAGAGCCCAGATCCTAGCCTCTGTTCTGGCTCCTCTTCCCTAAACATTCCTTACAGCATAATCCCCAGTGCTTTTCCTACTTAACTTTTCCCTACTATTCTTCTTCTGCCATGAGCTATTTTTCATGGGGTAATAGGTGTGCCATTGAAGCCATTTATACATTATAATGTGCCATTATAAAGATCTTAAATTTATAAATGCAATAAAACATCCCATGATATGAATCCAAGTATAATAATTTTCTTACTTACTGCACTTGAAGACATGAAGGCAAATACCAAGTGTAAAAATAATTTATATTATTTTGGCTACATAGTAAATTATTCACATATATCCATAAAGACCTATGGGAAGGACAATTATTCTATCTGCTGTTGTGCTGATGGAACAACCCAACAGTGCTCAAAGAGTCACCACTACGTAGTGCAGGTTGTTGGTACCTTTGGTCACACACAAACATTTGAATTGTATAAGCCCTGTAAATTTTTCAACTACTTTTATATATAAATCATAACTTTTTCAACTAACGCCACCCTTTAGGAAACAAAGGGGGTTACAGTTGATCTGATCAAGATCAACTGTAACACCTGAGCTTCCATCCACAACGCATAGATGACTCTTGGAGAATATACTCCTTAGTAAAGGAACAGCAGTTGGCCTCCAAGTCAGCCGAACATTTACTAAAAAAATTTGCATCACTCCAGCAAAAGTTTCTAAATTTTCTTCACCTACCTTTCCCCCTGCAGTTTCAAAAGTTTAAAGCAGTGGTTCTCAATATTTTTAGACTTGAGGCATCTTTGGATAGACTGGGCAAACCCCTCAGAAAATGACACCTCTTCATTTTTACTTCTTTTTTTTAACTACAGACAAGTAATAGACCAATCCTTTGTTTGAAAGACCTCAGAAAAACCACAACAGAACAGAACGTTTTTAACACTATAGATTCCCATATGAAAACTCTGGGTTTATCTTGTGAATCATGTTTGTATACCCAGTGCTAACACTGGGTAACATCCTGCAGCACCCCTTAAATGATCTCAAGGCACCCAAGGGTGTCCCAGCACCCTGATTGAGAGTCACTAGCTTAAGAATTTATTTTGTTTTCTCTCTCAAATTATTGTGTAGAGTTTCTGTGTGGAATGTTCATATGAGTAATCCCCATTTCTTCCTAGATATAGTGAGAATTCAGTGATGGATAAAGTAATATGATACTGCTGTAAACTAGGCCTACTCAAAAGTCATTTATCTGCATCTAAATGTCAAGCAATCAAGCTGGGCAGAGTACTGGGACACAAGTACATGTGCTGAGCAGGGCCAAGAAGAGGAACCTATGTCCAGCAAACCTTAGGTGTAACTTGGAACTATGATGTGTTCTACACTACAACCAGCTCTGGCCAGAATTTGGTACATTAAGAGGTTACAGCTTGCTTTGTATCAAAGGGAATTATTTTGACATAACTCTTGAGGTTTAATTGCCAGTCTGCTCATTCAACATTTGATTTAGTTCGCAGAATTTGGTGTTCAGCAACTTTGAAACTAAAAATGTTAATAGCAGTCTAATGCATAGACTTACAATGAATGAATCATAGAAAAATCACTTCAAGGTGTTAAATCATATGCAGTATAACTCAGGACTGATTGACTGCTTTATATTTACTGAGGCTTCCACACAAGTGTATCATGCAGAACATTATCTACTTTTCTCTTACTCCTTAAAAACATATTTGACATATTTTAGCCTTCTGATTTATAATGCCCTCCACCCACATCTAGAATTAATATCGCTAACCTGAAAGAATTTGAGTTCTCTGTGAGCTGTTAATGCTGAAAACTAATTAGAGATGAGGAAATGTTGGAAGCTCTGCTTTGGATGAATATAAACACTAATGGATATAAACACCAACTGTTCTTCTATTGCTTGTGATTATACATATCCATCTGTCAAACCCTGCCCTTGAATAAATATGGACAATAATGGCGAAAGAAGGATTATGATATATGAACATAAAAGACTTAGAAAAATAAGCATGTGATAGGAACGACCAATGCAATTTGACTTCAGTCATATATAACTCAAGTTGCAGGAAGAATGTTGCTATTGCTGGTGATGATGATAACATGTGCAATTTTGGTTTTATGGCTATGGCCCTGGACTGGGTCATCATGGGATAATTACTTTTAGCTAGATTGTCAAGTCTAGTAAGAAGTGGCACAATCTGAACATGTTGCTGAACATTTTGTCAATCAGCCCCCAGGTACTTTAATGAGCTCAGAGCCACACTGAAAATCTGGTCCTTGTCTTGCTGTAGCTTAGTTCCTTTCCCTACCTGTATAATATGGATAATAAGATTCCCTTATTTGTCACAGGGACAAAATATACAAACACTTTGGTTTTGCCTTCAAGTACTAGCTTGGATCTTATTCTTCTCTCACTTTTCACTGGTTAAACTACTCTTGAATTGAACATGTGAAGAGAAGAGGAGTCCAGAAAACTGAGAAGAAATTTTCAATCAAAAATGAAAGTTTGAATGTTTTAAAAATGGCCACCAGGAGGTAATCAGCCTCCAAATTACCAAGATCTCATTCTGTGTAAAATCTTGAAGTCTGTCCTGTGTTTACACCCCCTTTGTAGATGTTTGTCGGGCATTTGTAACAAATCCATATTCAGTATGGAATATGGTAATATACTGCTTAGTACTTACATGCTAGAGTATGAACTGCAGAATCCTTCAAAGGATCAAGGAATGAAACAGTTATTTACTTCAGATTTTGTATTTTGAAAAACAGCATAACTCAGACATAATGATACGTACCAATTGACTCTCTGTCATTCCAGGTGCTGATAAGTAAAGATTAGCCTGCAAAAAGTAAATATATACCATATTACATAAAGCAACATAAAGTCTTATAAAAGCCACACAAACTGAGATAGAAGAGAAAGCTGATTTACAAAAGAGAGAATCCAAAACAAAACCTGTTTTCACAGATTATCAGTGGTTCCTGGATGATGGGAAGAGAAAAGTATGTATATCTGTCATTTCACTTGCAGTAATTTTTCTGTTGCTGATTTCTATTGAAAGGAAATAGATAAATAATAGCCCATTTGCCTGTAGAAGTCTTTATGGCAGATGCAATGGTTTCCGTCAACTGAGTAGACATATAAAAGAAAAATAATTATATGTCTAGTTATAACTCATGTGGTAAAGCAGTTCCATAACCCTGGGAGAGGGGAAGAACATGATTTCCCTTTCCTCATTAAAAGACTCTGGTGGCTGGTGCCTACTGAGAATGATTCAGAAACTGGGCAGTTCCCTGCTCTTTGGCCTTTCTGAATCATAGGAATATGAGTAATACTGCTATTAGTCACATGCAGACTCTGGGCACTCTATAATGTATAACTCTAGCCTCTGAATGTAATCTATCGAGGAGGAAAGTTCCTAGTTCCTTTCTCCACTTGCACAGAGATAGCCACAATTTATCACTAAATCCCTTGGCAAAGATGCAAATAAAGGCAGCATGGGATCTAATGTGTGATTCCCACAAACTCTTCCAGCCATGCCACACAAACATAGCAGGAGGCATGATTGTGGAATTAAGCATTGCATCCCATCATGACTTATCAGTAGTGCATCATGATCCTGGGGTCTCCCTGAACCAGCAAGTAGGAAGTTCCTGCAGCCAGAAGTCAGCTGTCAGCTGATGGGTCTTCCAGCCACAGGGACATACCATGTTCTCACAGCTGGGAGCCCCATTGACTGAGGGAGCTCCCAACTGCTGGGATGTATCATAAGCTCCTTTTGGCTGGGAACCCCAACAACAAAGGGCTACCAGCTGCAGTGGTGCATGGTGTGCCCCCACAGCTGGAAGCCCAAGGCTAGCCACATGTTCAATTAATGGCATGATAGGAACCAGCCACAAAACTATTACACATTTTTTGTGTAATAACTTTGTGGTTTATTACTTGTTTTAGCATGCTATTAATTTCATTAACTTGTATCTGAGTGTAATTAACTGGTTAATCACATTTTAAGTGTACTGTGTGCCAGGCAGCTCAGCGTACAGTAACAGGACTGAAAAAATTCACTGGACAAACTACATTTGCATTGGTGGCTCAAGATTATGTTCACATGTTATTGAATTTCTTTCATGCACTCACCCTAATCTGCCACTGGATCTTATTGTAAACTTTAAGAAATTGAAAGAGCCCAAGGACTCTGGGAAATCTGTCAATATAAACTACTGGAGCCAAATTTTGCTGTCAATTACACTAGTGTAATTTCAGAGTAAATCTTGTTTCAGTGGAGTTGCTCCAAATTTACATTGGACTAACAAAAAAAAGTTAAAGAAACTCATTTATTTTCAGACATTGGCATGAAAACTTGAGTCTTTTTTGCTTGACTTACATTGTCTTTAGGAAGCAAAGCCTGCAGAGTTCTGCCTATTTCTTTTATCGTAAACACTTTTTATCTATAATCATATTTTGCCTATAGCTTCTTTTTAGCACTTAGGTAAAAGATAAGACAAAAGCACTGCAATAGTCTGCATGTTAATAATCTTCCTATTGATAACTGGAAATCATAATGGCTTGTTTGAAAATAACTGAAGAACCATATAAGAAAATTCTAATATAATAATTCTAATGCAATAAAGGGCTTAATCTGTCTGCCTGTCCATCTGTCCATAATGCTCTTGGAGCACTCTAATTGGTTACTGAAACAACCAATCAGAGTGCTCCAAGAGCATTCCAGACAGAAGGCAGCTGAGCATCGCCACGACAGCAGGGATGGAGGGGACTGAGGGGGGGCGAGGCCAGCTCCCTGGAGGCAGCAGCAGTGAGGGGTGCTGGCTGATGGGATGATGGAGTAAGCTCCTGTTCCTCCCCTCCCCCACTGCTCCTGGGAGGAGGCGGTGGTGCTCTATCCCTGCCTGTCCTCCCTGATCCACTCCCCACATCATTCCTGATGGACAACTGGCTAGTAGTTAATAACAGAAGATTTTGGAATTCTGTTGCAAAGAAACTGTTACTTTGTCTTTTCTGCAAAAATCGTTTGAGCTTTATGACTTCAAAAATCCAAAAAACAAAGCCTCTTCTTGATTGACAGCATTTAATGAAAATAAAATGACCAAGGGAACTGAAATGCCACAGAAAATGCTTATTTGGAATGTGAATTTGATCTTACACTTCTGTAAACAAGCAATAACTCTGCTAGTCAATGGAGATACACCAGTATAAAATGAAAGTAAGTGGGATTACACTGTGGCCATTAATAAGATTCTAAAACTAATTGCTGAAAATAGTGAGCCAAATCATCAGCTGGTGTTACCTACCATTGTTCCATCAAAGCCAATAAAGCTAGACAGAAGCTGGGGATGTGGGTAAGCTCCATAGCATCTTAATAATGGAACAGACCTGTTTCATTGCTGATTCTCCACTGCCTTGCTCAATCATGCAATTATTTATATCAATGGGAAGTTATATAAAATGAGTGTCAAGTGATAAAAAAAGGATAGCTGAGAACTGAGACTCTATTCATTTAGTTTCTAATTATGACCAAGTTCTTGTTAAGCCATTATTCAACAGTGTTCCATGCTGCACTTTCAACTGCCCAAATGATTGGTTTTAATGCTAGCTTGGGTTTGGAGCAGTCACGCATTAAGGCTAAAATCCTCCTCTGTCTTCCACCTGCACAGCTATGAATTGCCACTACAGGGTTGGTGAGCCAAGGCTGGCTTCTATCCCTGCTCTTGCCAGGGGGGAGAAATGGGTTGCAAGGATGGGTAGCTGGGAGGCATAGAGTTAATGGAATGAGGGTGGGTAATGAAATGGGAGGTGGGTGGGGGAAGGCTGGTGAAATGAAGGAAGTCAACCACTAAAGGAAAAGAAAAAGGAAAAAAAAAAAAGAATTTAAAAAGAAATAAAAAGGAAGTAAATTAAAGAATGTCTCATGTTTTAATAAAAAGGAATTTGGGATTGGTGTGGGGGGATACTGGTCATGCTTCTCAGGGTGACTGGGAGGTGGGAGCAGTGCAGGAAGGCACTTTTTGGGGAGGTACTCTTCCTGCCATGGGAAGGAAGCTCCAGCTCATGGGGACATGATCCAACATCCTACCTTGTTCTCCCCCACCCCTTAAACTCCAGTCATCCATGTACTGACTGACTTGAAGGTGCTCTGCTGGCTGTCTGCATGGAGTTGCACCCCTGGGGGTGGGAAGGCCCTCAGGCTGGCCATTATCACAGGACACCGCTACTCAAATGATATATTCATATAAATACTAATGTTATGTAAAATATGCAAAGGGATTTAGCAGGAAAACAGCTTTTGCTGGGTCTGATTCACTCACCAACAAAGATAATCTATTTTTCTCTTAACCAATGACATATTCAAGACTTCTTTGTATTAAACATTCAACAAAAGACAGCATGCACATAAATAATGGTAAGTATATTGTTAAAATACCATGCTAATCCTTCCTAAGTAAAAATGAATTTCAGACAAACAAGTTAAAAGCTACTTCAAAAGAATTAGATCTAGGTTAGAAAACCATATCACTGCTTAATACAATACAAAAGCTAGGAGTTTCCTGATATACCTGCTTGGACTGAATATTGAAAGGGCATTTGTTGTATTAATATCAAACTGTGAGCTCATCCAGCATGCTCACTATCTTCTGCTTGCGCTCCACACTAAGTGCTCCAAGAAAGGTCATCAGACACAAGTCAGAAGGTAGTGAGCATGCTGGATGAGCTCACAGTTTGATATTAATACAACAAATGCCCTTTCAATATTCAGTCCAAGCAGGTATATCAGGAAACTCCTAGCTTTTGTATTGTATTAAGCAGTGATATGGTTTTCTAACCTAGATCTAATTCTAGATTATATTATGGCCCCTTTATGCTGTACTAAACAGGCAAAACAAACTACCGGGGAATACCCCAAAGCTGTGTTAATGGCTCAGCACTGGTCTGTCTTGCAGCCATTGTCGCAGGTTACAGAGTTGATAGGGATTGTGAGTTGGTTATTCTCAGCTACCCAGTGGTTTCTAGGAGACCATTGCCATGGAATCTAACTTAGAGCTGCCTTAAGGACAAATGATTAATAATGAGCCCAATCAAAAAGGAGCTTTGGGACTTCTTCAGCTTTGTAGTATTAGGGAGTGGATTCTTAGAGAGACAGATTTTTATTGGGGCCTTAAGGGCTTAAAGCCTTTTTAACCTCCACAGCTTCTCTAGAGTCAGAAGCTAGTTATCCTCTGAGGAAAACCCTAAAAGTGATCGCTGATTTACAGTAGTAGAAACATTATACATTGCAAGAAAATGTGAAAAACTCGGCATAGAGAAAGAAACTGCTGTTGAGAAGGGCTATCTAAAGAGGTGTTAGTTAAAATATCATGTCTGAATTGAGGTGTGACTTTAATTCTCAACACATTTGTAAAGGTCATAGAGAAAATGAACTTGACTAACTTTCTGTGTTAAACGGTCACACAAAAGCAATCTCCAAAAATAGCATCTCATTGGGCAGCATTAGTCACTGTATGTCACATGCTGAAAAATTCCACTTGGAAAAATGTTGGGCACAGTTTAGTAAGCATAAGGATTACAGTGGTGAGCAATATATGTTATTGTCTTCAAGATACAGACAGTGAGCTTGTTTTTTATATCACTAAAAATTATCTCTTCCAGTCTCCTTCCTAATTAGGCTGAACCAGCACAATCTGTCAAGTAGAATCACAGTCCAAAGCACATAAGAAAAATGCACAACATTTCTTTTGCTACCCATTCCAGAAACAAAATTTTATTGATCAAATAGTGTATTGGCAGCAAGCAGCAATCTTTACTCATTTTACCTGCACTGCTCCTGATCTGTGATTCAAGAGAAAGACTGAGCAATGAATAATGGGCAGGCCTCTCATACAAATAAATGGGTTGTAAGTAAAATAAATCACCAACATTAACTGTTTATACTAATGAGAAAGATAGCAATATCTGAGTTTAAGGCTTTCATACTTATTAGAACAGATTAATTAACTTAGAGTGGTTATTGTATGTGTGTGCATGTGTGTGTGTGTCCATGCTGACACACTTGCCTGTGTATCCACACAACAAGGTAGCTTGTACATATTTCGGGCTAACTTTCATAATCCTAAACCAGGTGCTCTCAACCTTTTTAGACTCAAAGCAGCCCTCAATAGACCCCTCAGTAGACTCAAGGAACTCTGTGGAAAAGGTCATCTCTTAAATTTGCACTCATTTTTTGACGACAGAAAAATAAGAGCACAAATAACCTGTTGAAAAGAACTCAGAAAGACCACAGCAGGACAGAATGTTTTTACGCTAAGGATTCTCATTTGAAATCTCCGGGTTTACCTTGTGATAAACATTTGCACACCTAATAATGTCAGAGTTGCTTGGCACCCCATAGCACCCTTGAAAATGATTTCAAGGCATTCTAGGGTGCCATGGAACCCGGTTGAAGAACCATTGTTCTAATAGTGTAGCAGGTGCTGAAAATTTGGGTAAGCCCCAATTTATGGTGTATGGGCAATAACTAAAAGGCATGCTATGGCAGCAGTGCATATTGGGTGCCTATACATGAGTAGCGAGGCTGCTCCAATGTGCTGTAATTACAGTGTGTTAGAGCAGGTTTGATTAACTGAGTCTGCAGACTCCAGCATCTCATCTTAAAAATGGTTGTGGGGGCACTTTAACTAAAGCTTGGCAAATGAACTTTAGTTAAAGCAACCCTGCCACCATTTTTAAGCGTGGGGACACTGATACATGAGATGCTCTGGATGCTTATATTAGAGAGGCTCTCACAGACACTCTAATTAAAGTACTCCCCACCTCCCCCTGGAGCACATGTATAAATGCCCAACAATTGCAAGGGTTTTTGGTTGTAGCCATGTTGGTCTAAGGACATAGGCAGACAAGGTTCTTTGGGTAGATGTGACATCTTTTATTAGACCAACTGAGTAGTTGGAAAAAAGTTCTTAGCAAGCTGTTGGGCACAGTCACCCTTCATCAGGCATAGGGAGTCTCTGCAGGTCTGAGACTCCAAGGAATGAGAGATGCTTAAAGTGTGGAGGGATACTTCATCCTCACATACAACAACTTCATTTTTAACAACCAATACTTCCTTCAGACAATGGGTACAGCTATGGGCACCAAAATGGCCCCACAATATGCCAACCTTTTTATGGGCCATCTAGAAAATTTCTCAAGAACTGCACCAACAAACCCTTATTATACCTGAGATACACAGATGATATCTTCATCATTTGGACTGAAACCCTGCAGTCTCTGGTGGACTTCCACCAAAAATTAAACAATCATCACCCCTCTGTCAGACTATCGCTTGAATACTCCAACACCAGCATTTCCTTTTTTGCATGCCATGGTCAATATCCAAGATGGTAAAATTCAAACCACCATACACAGGAAACCCACTGACCAACATACATATCTACAAAGAACCAGCAATCACTCTAAACACACCGAGAAAGCTGTAATTTACAGCCAAGCACTCCCATACCACTGAATTGGCAGCAAGGAAAATACTCATGATCACCACCTCACAAATCTCAAAAGGGCCTTCAGCCAACAAGGACACTTTTCCAGAGATAGATTGCACTTTTGAAAGAGCCACCTGGATACCATGTGAAGATCTGCTGCAGAACAAAAAGAAAATCCCCACAAATCACACACCATTGGTGATGACATATCACCCTTCCCTGGAACTTACATGGAAAATCATCTAACAATTGCAACCCATATGAGAAGAAGACCTAATTCTCAATGAGATGTTTCCAGATCCACCCATCCTAGCCTCATTAACCTTGCTAACCTCATCACCAGAAGCAAACTCCCTATGACCCAAACCACACCAAATGGATCCAGACCATGCCAGGACAAGAAATGCAAAACTTGCCAACATATCTCCACCACCCCAACAATTACTACACCCCACAACAGAGCCATCAGCATTCCTAGATCCTATGCCTGGACCTCCAAAAAATGTAAGATCTCTCATCCAGTGCACTAAATGCCCTCATGAAAAATAAGTAGGAGAAACCAAACAACAACTGCACACCAGAATGAACACACAACGGAAATCTACGAAAGACAAGAATACCTAGCTACCTGTGGGGGCACGCTTCTCACAGGACAATCACTACCTCTCCGATCTCTCAGTTCTAATCCTTAATGGGAATTTACAACACATCTTTCATAGATGAGCCTACAAACTTCACTTCATCCACTTACTAGATACTAAAAATCATGGACTCAATACAGACATTGGATTTATGATACATTACAACCTGCCTTGACATCACAGCATTACCTTGTTATTGCTAGCCTTTTTTTACTTTGTATTATTATTACCTCTATATTGTTTTTCCTTTGGCCTTTTTTTGCCCTCTGTTTTCTTCCCCCTCCTTTACCTTTTGTTTTCATACTTCTACCCTTTTATATTTTCATTGACATCCTGTCACACTTTTAGCTTCTCCCATTTCTGCTTTCCTGATTTCTAACTATTCCCTTTATCACAGACTGTCTCTTTTTCACCTTGTGTTTTATCTCTGTGCTCTCTCTCTGACTTTTTCTTTCCCCTGGTCTTCACTACTTTCCTTCCCCCTTTGTCTTGCTTATCTCTACCTGTTTACATTTTCACTGACATCCCTCCACACTTTTAGCTTCTCTCATTGCTTGGAGTCTCAGAGCAGCAGAGACTCCCTATGCCTGATGAAGGGTGACTGTGCCTGAAAGCTTGCTAAGAACTTTTTTCCAACTACTCAGTCAATAACAGACATCACATCTAACCAAAGTACCTTGCCAAATATTGCAAAATATTGTCCTCAGACTGTCTTCTCAAAATTAAACAAAAAAGGGAAATTAAAAGGAAAAAAAGGCAATTAAAATTACTTTAAACTGGCATTGAGTTTGGCTTTCATTTGGCTAGGGATAATAATCATCCTGTGCTGAAGAGCCACCAAACAGGATGAATTTGAAGCAAGGGTCAGAGGTTTCAAGTGTCATTGCCAATACCCTGGCTGACTCACTTTCACATTCAATAAAGAACTCATTTTCTACACCAGTTTCCACCCTTCTCTCATGCAGATCCAACTGGCATGAAAGGATGATTATTATTCCTACAAAGTAAAACATTTTTGTAGCTAAAACAGAATAATTATAAGGGGACTTACATATTTGGTTTCCCTTCCAGCTGTTCTCTGCGGCACTGTAGACATCTGTACACAACATAAATTGATATAGTAACATGCAGACAACACTGGAATAATTCTGTAAGCTTTTATCCTTGTTGTAAGATATTAATTGCTTAAAATTGTAAGATGTGCTTATAATATGTCCTAAGTGAAGAATGATTCATTAATGTTTAACTCTAAGGCTCAGGTCTTATTCCACCTCTAAGATGTCTAAGTGACACTTAAAAAGAAGTCCCCAGTTCCTTCACTGAAGAGCCATGTTGAATGACTGAACTTGAGATCATGCTTACACCTAAATAGAAGAAAAAAACAAGCTCCCACCACCATTTTGTCCAATTTTGGCTACAGCACTTTCCCAGACAGGGTAAAAGGGAGTTTGAGGCCCCGCACCTATATCTCTCATTTCCCAGGAAAGTGCCCTAGACGTGGGTTCCCTGGACAGAACAGGATTGGTCTCCTGAGACAAGATACACGTTTTTAGGGTGACTTCTTGCAAAACCTTAATGGTCTCATTGCTGCAATAGGAAGGAGGATATAGGCATAGGTATTATTGTTTTAAAGATTATGAGGTTGCCAAAAATCTGAGTGCAGTAGCTGACCTCATTCTGTTAAAAATGACCTTGATATGGTTAAAAATGACCTTGATAATGCCTCCAAGGACTCTTTCTGTTAATCTGTTAACAGACAAGGGATGTATCCAAGCCCCATGAGGGAACTCACTTCTATTTGCCTGGGACATTCTCCCTCATGCTGTCACTTGGCAAAAACTCTCATTTTTTACATTTTCTTCTGCTGCCTATTTCATCCAATATTGAAATTGAAATGTTGGTAAGAACTAACTGATGTACATGGGGAAAAAAAATCCTCAAATATTTATATACAACGATGGGCTCTAGATCAACAGTCACCACACAGAAGGTGCATCTACATGAGGCATTTACTGAGAAGTAAACTAATTAGCCCTGCAGTAAATGTCAGGCCTCTACACATGCCCTCTTCCCCCTCCTACCAACTAGGCTAGAGTTAACAAATTAACTCTGAAGCACAGTGGTACTTATACATACAAGTCCTATCCCGCTGCAGACTTTTTACTCAGCAACGGTATACTTGTAGATGCTACCCCAGCTGGCTGGGGCATAAGGGTGTTTCAGTACAGGGCTGCCTGCCAGCAAGCCCTGCACTGAAGCAGTCTCATGCCCCAGCCAGCCCCTCTGCAGCACATTGAGCCAGGGGAAGCAGCCCCAGGCTGGCAGGCTGATCCCTGGGGCCTCCTGCCAGCCAGGGCTGCTCTGACCCAGCTCAACATACTACAGTCCTTCGCCCACATTCAAATGGTGCACCCAGAAGCAATAAACTCTGGAGCTTTAATTGTATGTGTAGAGGCACCCAGAGTGAGGTAGTTAGCTATGATAGTCTAAAGTCAGGCAGAAGTCAATACAAGGTAGCATCTTCTAAGACTAATTGATGGAGTAGGCTGTAGCCTACAAAAATATATGTCTTTCTAAATGAGGTAGAGACTTTAAGGTGCCATCCTGCCCTACCATACAGGAAAGAGATCTTGGAGTCATTGTAGGCTGTTCACTAAAACAATTTGCTAAGCATCAGTCAAAAGGCAAATCAAATGTTTGGAATGATCAAGAAAGGAATTGTAGACAAGTCCAAAAATATAATTCTCTCCCTTTCTAGATCTATGGTGCATCCACACTTTGAATACTGTGTGAAGTTTTGGTCCCCACACCTCAGAAAGGATGTATAGGAATTAGACAAAGTACAGAGGAGGGCAACAAAGATGATCAGGGGTATGGAGGGGCTTCCATATGAGGAGAGACTAAATAGGCTAGGACTTGTTAGCTTAGAAACAAGACAGTGGAAGTGGGGGAGGGCAGGACACATGATAGAGGTTTACAAAATATTAAATGTTGCAGAGAATGTTCATAAGGAATTATTATTTACCATCTTTCCAAATACCAGAAGTAGGGGGCATTAAATGAAACTATTGGGTAGGAGTTTTAAGACTAACAAGAAGGAATTCTTTTTTGCAAGGTATGTAATTAACTTGTGTAACTCATTGTCACAAGATGTTGTGGAGGCCAGTGGCTTAACCCAGTTAAAAAAAAGAATAGACAAATTTTTAAAGGAAAGGTCTAACTCTAGATGTTGAACAAGGTAGATAGGAATGCAGTCTCAACTTCCTAAACCTCTGAATGCTGGAAGCTGCAACTGGGAGAAGAGCAGGGGTAGAAGATTCTAGACATGCCCTGCTCACCTTCCTTCTCAGCATCCACACACTGCCACTCTGTGGGACGGGACACTGGACAAGATGGACCTATGGTCTGACCCAGTGAATGGAATTTTGCATGTTCTTATGCCCATGGCATTTCTAAGGCTCTTACATATATTTTCTTCTCATTTACAACTATTTCTCCCCCACTCTAATCTTGAAAGCCAAAGTCTTTATTCCAATGCCTACTTCTTATCCCTAAACTCAGGTCACACCCAGCCTGCAAAGAGATGTGAGCTGGCACATGGCCCCAACAGCACCTTCTCCACCCTGTGCATGTATTCTTCTTTCTTGTTCCAGCAGTCCCCTCCAGTGTCAATCCTTTCCTGCTGTCTTGCCCCACTGCAGTTTCTGCTTATCACATCACCATTGGCAATGGCAAAGGACAGCACTTAGTGTGGAGCACAAGCAGAAGTTCCAGTAGGGTGGCACAAGAGCAAGAGAGCAGCCCTCGGCACAAAGCAGGGAGGACTAAGGTAACCCAGTTGCATGTCACCCTTAAAGGTTGCAAACCCATGCTTTAACTTCTTGTCCAAACCACATTGTCTTCTTCTCTCATTGCCTCTGTTTCCTTTACCTGACCTCTTTTGTTCAGAACAGACTTTTGCACTGCCTTGGATCTGGTTTAATTTTTTATACAAGTATAAAGTGGGTATAAGTACTTTCTACCTATCAGAAAATTCATTCACAGTTACACTTCAAGACTTAACATCCACTTTACTCAACTGTAAGTAATTGTGCAAGGTATAGGCAGAAGAATTAAAACTTTCTACCTACAGGCATATTCAAATATCTGCTGCAGTAAAGAAAGGTGGGAGGGAAGAGAAAGTATAGAATGACCTTTCCTTAATCCCCAATTTTCTCTAATAATTGTTCTATTTCTACCACCCTCTTTCTCTCCAGATGCCAATGGCTTGATTCACCATTGTCCTGTGTCACATGCATAGGGTATATAATACGTGTTTGAGCTTACTCACTTACTTTGCCTGTATCTGAATCCATGGGTGTCTGCAGGAAACTTGGGGAAGATTCACACCGGCGCTGAAAAATGGGATTCAAAAGTGCACAGGCTTAATTAATAACAGAAGGAGGAAGAGTGGGGAAAGACTGTTCTAATACAAGTTGACTGGTATATTACCATAGGCAATGGATCCTGTAAGACTTGATCAATGGTTGCGCAGAGTTCTTCAGTTTGCTGCCTGAGCTGGGCAGGGGAGCACATCTAGAAAAGTAGAAGCAATATGAGGATTAACCCTTAGTGTTTCCAGATAAAAAGATAGAGAGAATTATTGTTACCTCTGAATGTGTGTCCAAAGTGGTGAGCTCAGTCTCACTTGCTTTCTTAGTTGGCTCTTCTAATGCCTAGAAATAAATTTAAAGGGTTATGATAATACATCATCTTAAAATAAAAATAAGTTTTGCAGAATGACAGTTTCCATATTTGATACTACTTAGTGGAGTAAAAAATGGCAAGTTGACACTGTCCTAAGCTTCCTCAAAATAAAGTTAGTATATCTTGAAAAATTAAAGTTGTTCTGCAAAGACAGAACACTAAATTCCAGTGACATTAAGAGGATATAGAGAGCCCCCATAAAGAATAAGGTTATGGAAATATCTCTATTTTTGGAATTCATTTACATACCAATGGTGCAAAGATGTATTTCACAGCTATATGTTATCTAGCCACTAGAAGTCTCTGTGTGCTTCTAGTGGCTAGATATTCACACATTCTAGGTAAAGTGTTAAGCATTTTGGTTTGTTAACTTTGTCTGTTTTCTTTAACAAATGCTCCCTGTTTAAAAAAGACTGAGATTTCAAATGTCAGGGCAAAGAAGGAATCAAGATTTGGGGCTGGTTTTACACAAAATTGTGTAACAGGAAACTTCTGATATGATAGAAATGTACAATATAATAGCTCCCTAGAGCCTGGGTGGCCCAAGCAGGTGCCTTGTATACACCCAGTACGTGTATAACTTTCCAATAGCTATTTCTGTCTCCAAAACAGAACTGAAACCTAATGAGGTCTGAGTACAGGTCAAGCCTTTAAACCTAAAAAGTTGATTGAGTTTCAAATTGGTCAAAATGAGTTTTCCCGTCCCTAAACTTAAGCAATAAACCTAACCACCCAGCAGTCAGGCTGAAAGGAAGGCTTAGAGGAAAATTCAACATATTATTCCTTTTTTATGTTCTTCCAGGTGCTATGACGTACAAGCTAGCTGCTGTCAGCCTGTTTTTGCTTTGAAGTGACTTCCATGCAGGCTCCATGCTGAGATACTAAAATTACTCTGGAACCTTGCTGAAGCATGAAGCTGGAGTCCAGGGGGTCAGAGTCTGTGGCTTTTTTAAATATACTTTGCTTTTTCACACTGTTCTTTTTTATATTATTTAATGGAAAAAGAAACTATGAATAAAGGAAAATGTGGTTCTTTCAAATTGTTCTCCCTGCCCCCTGCATATTTTACACTTCAGTAGGATTCTGCGGCAAATGTGGCATCTCAGCATGGTAAATGCCAGAGATTCACATCACAGAAAATGTAGCTGCAGCTGGAAGGGTTGTGGAATTCTGAACACTAGGGATAATCACATTTAGGTATTAATGCAGTAAATATCCCTCCTTTCCCAGCTGTTGAGGGAATGCAGCACATTGTTGAAATGTTACTTAAAACTGATCTTTCTGGTTATTTTTAACTGCATCTGCAAAAACCTCATATACAATAGGCATGTACTTGGAGCAGCGTGTATCCAACCAGAAAAAAGGGCAACCCAGTAAAGGGGGATTTTGCAGCCAAATGTGTTGCCCTTTTCTCTTCTCAAGCATAACTCCTAAAAATCAAGAGAAATTTACTGGTCCTAAGGCAACTGGATATAAATCATAGGGGACACGAAGTGGGGAATGGGGGAGGGGGTACGTGCCCCCCTGAGATTGGCCCTTGCTGGCCATGTGTATGTGTACATAGAGGGATAGTGGGGGGCAACAGCAGGACTGGCACACAATTTTTGGGGGTCCCCTGCAATTTTTTGGCCCCCCCGATGTGAAGAAGACATCGGAGGTGGGTGGGCTGGTGAGCACAGGGGTGGATTAAGGTGTACTGGGGCCCATTGGCAAGCACAAAATTGGAGGCCCCCTCCCCACATGGGAGTTGGGCTTCATGGGGGGAGGGGTCCCTTCCCTTTCTAGTGCTGGCAGAGGAGTCTGGATGGACCCTGCCAGGCTAGGAGGCACATGCCTGCCACTTCTCCCTGCTCCCCACCCCCTGCCAAATGTACACATACATATGGCCGATAAGGTTCTTTGGGTAAATCTAATATCTTTTATTAGACGAACTAAATAGTTGGAAACATTTTTCTAGCAAGCTTTTGGGTTTAAAAACCCTTGAGCAGGCTATGCTCTTCCTGACTGGAATGAATAGTAAAGAAGCCAGAGGCTGGTCTACATGCAAGCCAGTGAGTGAAAATTTAAATTAAGGAGTCAGCAGATGAGAGAATCAGTGGATGAGAGTCAGTGGGTTTCATGGAATCAATCCTTAAACTGCTTCTTAATGAAAGAGTGAGTTTTGTTCAAGATACTATGGCCTTTCTACGAAAACTTAAATACATAGACCACCTTCCTAGCAACACCCTCCTAGTCACCATTGATATTACCTGCTTATATACCAACATCCCACACCAGGACAGCATCAAAGCCTTCCTTACATACCTACAAGAGCAAGATAACAACTCTGAGTACAGACCCAAAGATATTACTGAAATGATATGCTTCATCCTCTCACACAACAATTTCACTTTTAATAACCAACACTTCCTCCAGACCGTGGGCACAGCTATGGGCACCAAAATGGCCCCACGGTATGCCAACCTTTTTATGAGCCACCTGGAAGAATTCCTCAAAGACTGCACCATCAAACCTTTGTTATACCTAAGATATATTGATGACATCTTTATCATTTGGACTGAAAACCTTCAATCTCTGACTGAGTTCCGTCAGAAATTCAGCAACCATCACCCCTCCATCGACTATCTCTTGCATACTCCAGCACCAACAACTCCTTTTTAGACGCAATAATCAGCATCCAGAATGGAAAAATACAGACCACGTTGTACAAGAAATCCTCAGACCAACATACATGTCTGCACAGAACCAGCAATCACCCTAAACCCACCAAGAAACCTGTGATGCACAGCCAAACCCTCAGATCCCACCGAATTTGCACAGAGGAGAACACCCGAGATTGCTACCTCACAAATCTTTAAAAGGCTTTCACACAACAAGGACAGTCCTCCAAAGAGATAGATGCACATTTGAAAGAGCCACCTGGATACTACGTGAAGAACTGGTGCAGTGCAGAAGGAAAACTCCCATGAATCGCACACCCCTGGTTATGACATATCACCCCTCCCTCGAACCTATATTGAAAATCCTCAAACAATTGCAACCCATAATAGAAAGAGACCCAATTCTTAAAGAGATCTTCCCAGATCCACCTATCATAGCCTTCATGGGCAACTGGTGCCTCTTGAGTGCCCCCCCCCCAACCAAGCAATCAGCAACCGGGGAGAGGGTCCTCTGCTAGCCGATCACGCTGACCAGAGTGGGGGTCCCACAGCATGGGTGGGGGGTCTCCAGTGGTCAATCTCACTGACTAGTGGCTAATCTCACACGGCCCCACTCCCTGGCCAGCGCTGGGGGGGGGGCACCGGCACTCCTGGCTACCCCCCTGCCCGTTGTCTAAATAGAGAGCGCAGCCTGATGGGGTGCACATGCACCCTCATGCACCCCCACTGCTAGCCTTCAAACAAGCACTGAACTTCACTAACCTCATCACAAGAAGCAAACTTTCTATGGCCCTAAACACATTGAATGGATCCAGGCCATGCCATGAAAAGAAATGCAAAATTTGCCAACATATTTCCACCACCCCCATAATTACTACACCCCACAACAGATCTATCATCATTCCTCAATCTTACACCTGCACCTCCAGAAACATTATATATCTCATCCAGTGCATCAAATGCCCTGATGGAAAATACATAGGAGAGATCAAACAACAACTGCTCACCAGACTGAACGCACACTGGAAATCTATTAAAGACCAGAATACCCAATTACCGGTGGGGGCACCTTTCTCATGAGAGAACCACTCTCTCTCCAATCTCTCAGTATTAATCCTCAAAGGAAATTCACAAAACACTTTTCACAGATGAGCCTATGAACTTCACTTCATCAACCTCCTGGATACCAAAAATCATGTACTAAACATAGAAGAAATACAAAAATCTAGAACTCTTGGTTCCAAAATCATATCTTTTATTAGATCAACTAGAACATCACATGAAAATTTTCCTTTTCTTCAAGCTTTCGAGCTCAAAGTCCCTTCATCAGGCTCTGAGGAAAAGTGTAGATGGTAAAAAGTCCCCATAGGTAGGAAATAAACTTCATTTTTGTATAGAGGGAGCTGGAGATGGAAAGCTGCCCCTCTGAGTCCAGCTTTTTCTTGTGATTTCCCAGGTGGTCTAATAAAAGGGGGGGACCAGAAGGGTTTGGGGGAGACGCTGTTTCCCCTAGCGCCCGCTGGCATAACAAGGAGTAATGGGCACAAGTTGATGGAGAGGAGGTATAGATTGGACATCCGCAAAAACTGCTTCACAGTTAGGGTGGCTAGGAGCTGGAACCAACTTCCAAGGGAAGTGGTGCTGGCCCCTACCCTGGGGGTCTTTAAGAAGAGGCTGGATGCCTACCTGGCTGGACTCATTTGAGTCCCGTTT